ACGTCCATTTCTCCACGTAGAAAATAAAATTAGGTGAAGTCCATTTTTTGATCCATGCAATTGAAGAAATAATATTTAATTTTTATCAACGGAGATGACAGGTGGAGGAGAAATTTCCGAAAGTTTAAATCCCCCAGCCCGAGTTGACGAGCATAAGCTGAAATTGAAGGCCTGGTCCTGAAGGCCCAGCCTAAAAGTAGACATTGAAAATTAGGGCATGTTAGTTGAATTTGCTAGCGTTGAGCCTGCGAGGCCCAAGTAAGTTTCAGAGTACAGTTTCTCACTATTTTGGTCATCCTGACCTAAACGAAAAGGAAAGGAAAGGTTAAGAAATATTTTTAATTTGGGTATCCGATAATGAATAATCAACACCTAAACTTGCTATGAAAGATATAAACTACCCAAGTCTCGGAAGACAAAGGGATAAGTTTGATCCCTATGAATTACATGTCTCTCCTCTCCCATCCCCCTTTCCTCACTGACCCAAAAAAGAAAATAAGAAAGAAAAGAAACTACCTTAATTTTTTATGTAATACTTCTCTTCAACCATTTTCATTTTCACTAGGTGAATTTCATATTAATTTTTTGGGGAAGGTTTAAATATTTGATTTCTTCTGCATGCAAATCAGTTTCAAGTTTAATTTCGAAGGATTATCAGATACCATTTATCAGGGCAAAATATTTTGGGTATTATTGATGTATGATTAATGATATATTCTTTATCAAATATTATAAAAATAATATATTTATATTATCTTTACCTTTATAATTATTTCCTTCTATATTTTTTTGGGTTTTATTAATGTTATGTTACATAACACAATATTAGTTTCCAACACACACAATAATAGAAAGACAGAAAGTGAAATGATAAAAAAAAGAGAAAAATATGTGAACTCCACATCTTTAATATGTATGTGTAAAAAAGTGAAGTTATGTTATCAAAAAAAAAAAAAAAAAGTGAAGTTATATTATGTAAAATAATAAATATAAAACTCATTTTTTTTGTCATTTTTATAAGGAAATACCTCTTCCGATTGTATAAAAAATCTAGGGACAGTGACTATTTTGCCACGTTTTGGCAAAAAAATTATCAGAATGCCACGCGAATAGTAAAATTCGCCAAATTGCCACGCGACATAATTCGCTACACAGTGTAGTGAATTATGCATGCAAATAATTCGCTACACAGTGTAGCGAAATATGCCACGTCAGAACCAAAAAGTGTCATGTGTCAAAATTGTTGAAATTCGCTACCCTATGTAGCGAATTTCAACATTATGACACATGGCACTTTTTGGTTCTGTGCATTCTGACGTGGCATATTTCGCTACACTGTATAGCGAATTACTTGCATACATAATTCGCTACACTGTATACATAATTCGCTACACTGTGTAGCGAATTGTGCCGCGTGGCAGTTTGGAAAATTTTACTGTTCGCATGGCATTCTGATAATTTTTTTGCCAAAGCGTGACATTTTGGTCGCTGTCCCAAAAATCTACACCTCTCGGGCGCGATAATCCATGACGGTAATTATGTCCCAAAATTGTGTCTCTAAGCAGACATCAAGTAGCAATCATTACCTGCTGTAATTTTCTAGAAAAAATTTGTTGTTGGTGTTCCACTATTTCTCGAGTCACTTTCGTGTTGAATGGGATTAGGAAACTGTCATTTTTTTGCCCTGTTTTCTTCCATTCCTCTATCTCCGCAAGGTGCTTCAGAACGTGGGCATCCGAAGAGACATCCAATGTTGACAAATGGCAATCATAATTATGGTCATACGTGGAAATTAAAGAGAGCTATTAACTACTGATAAAGCCCACAATTTCAGCAACATAAATTAATTAATGGTATTATAAAACCAAAATAAAATTATCATCATAAAGAAAGGTTCCGCGTCCTATAAAATATTCATTTTCAAAGTATGCTCTTTTGGATCCGAGGGGCTGAGACCAACTCAAACAATTGTTTCTTTTTCTTTGTTGTTTCCGTGGGCAGTTACTATATTCTCCCTGAAATGAAAGGTTCTTAGTTTGAAAATTGAGAGAAAAGAAAAGTCAATTATTTTGTTAGGGATTATCCCATTCTTGACTATTTAGGTTGGGGTTTTATCCTACAAAGAAGCAATTAAGATTGACAATGGGAAAAAAAATCCCTTTCCAACATTACAAGCAACATTGTGAAATTTGCATTTATGCACCCTGTTTATTAATATTTTTTATGACCATTTAAGTTGGGGTTTTATCCTTACAAAGAAGCAATCTAATTGAAAATGGGAAAAAAGAAAAAGAAAAAACATTTTCCAACATTACAATATCATTGTGAAATTCGCATTTATGCACCCTGCTTATTTATTTTTAGTAGTTTATGACCTTAAATCATTAATCTATCCACCAATAATATTAAGCTATTAAGTGACACTGCTAACATTTTCGGCACCCCATTTATGGATTACTGCTTAGATTTTAGTTTACGTTTTGTCCATTTTAAGATAGGGTTATATTTATCTACTTTTAGATAAGATAATTAAATTTTCTACACACACAAAAGCTAGGTGGGTCCCATTTCTTTTTTTTTTCTCTCCTCTTATCTATGGGTCCCACTTGCAATCTTGTTTCTACAACATAAGATAAGTATTTACCTACAACATAAGAAAATTATTTCCCTTTTAAGATATTATAAATCAGACCTTTTCTTTTACGAATTATAACTGCATTGAATTTTTCGCTAGTTACATTTAATTGAAAGTTACGATATATGCTATGAGCTTCACCATGCAATATGTACAACCTGTCACTTATATAAAGTGACATATTTTAAGACCTTGGCATGTCTCGTGTGGCCTCACTAACGGGCAACTCATTTGAAATTCAAATGTTATCTAGGGCCAGAGAGAACAAAGAAGAAAAAGAAAAAGAAAAGCAAAAAAAGGTTAAAAAGAAAAAAGGTAAGGACAACAATAATTATAAAGTGAACAGATGAAAGAGGGAGAAAAAGAGCTTAATGATTTTACATAGCAGGCTGGTGAGTGTGGTAACTGGTCACCTGGAAAAGAAAGGAGTGGGTGGCGACTCAGTTTCATAAAATTGAGAAACAACATTATGATCAATGGTGGGTCTGCGTAATTGATTTCATGACCCTCTAATCAAAAGTAGGTTATACCAGTAAAAGTTCAATTTACTCTTAAGATTGAACATGTGCATGTGGTCCTACTTATTTTATTTATTATTAATCTTAGCTTCTTTGTGAATAATATATATATTTTTATACAAATGAGAATTGAATACATAATTTAATACAATTTATTCAAATCCCTCACCACTATAGACTAGTTCTAATGGTTTTGTGAATAATATTGTTGCGTCCAAAAGGAACAAAAATGCTTAGTCAAAGAGACTAGTATATTAATATTAGACCCTGTACGACCCAGTGCGGTTAGACTGATTTTGGTAAAAATATGTGACTCAGTCAGTTAACCGATCACCCGACCTAGTTTATTTTAAAAAAAATATTCCAAAAAAAATCATAAGTGACATATTTTAGTGATTTGTTGTTTATTAACTTGCATAGGTTATGTACATACAATACTAATATTATCTCATTTATGCACTATGCAGAGAATTTTGATTTGTTTTATAGTTAGAGATGTCGTTTACTGAACCTGAAACACCAGTGTCACAAGTATTATATATTTGTTTGATCTTTTATTGGACAACAATGTGTAATTTATTATTTTTTATATTAAAATATTTAGAATTTATATAATTTTTTTTCAGCTACTTAAGTAAGTTTATAATTTTTTTAATATAAATTATAAATTTAAATATAATCACTGGGTCATACATTTGAACTAGTGACCCACTGATTAAGCAGGGTCAATGATCGAGCTAATTTTTTAATATCATACTTGTAACCTGTAAACTTTACCTCTTATTTATAAAATTTATACTTGGTTAACAAAATTCTGACCTTTGTAACTCTTTTGAGAGCCCGAGTCTAGATTCATTGTTATCATAACAGGATTCATCATAATTAATGATTATTTTCTTTATTTGCTTTATTTTTTTGTTCTTTATTGAATCTTCTAAAATACGGACCTCTCGTATAAGTCCGTAACAAACATTTTTATTTTTATTTTGATAATTCCAATTCTATTATATTCTCAAAACATATCCATTCTACATCAGCCTATTCTTCTAAATGGACTGCTGAGATATCCATATTTGTATTTATATTGATTACTTCTTTTAGTTGTTTCCTTGTGCTACAGCCTCCAGCAGCCACGTTTGCTTAGGAAAGCATTCTGTCCATTTCCGCAACCAATTTTAACCTATTCATTACACTTTCAAATGGTGCAGTTATTTTCAATCCTATTTGTTTAAGCTTTTTTGCTATCAAAGAAGGGAAGAAGGACTTAAAATCATTTTTTAAATTAAAATATATCTAAAGTTATATATAATTTCTAAAAAATTTAGAAATTGAAAATTAAAAAGTAAATTTAAAAAAATAAAAATAAAATAAACACATCCAAAATTACATAGGAGAACATTCCAAGCACAAGGAGGGCTAGGGCAGCCGAACAATAATATAATAAATATCTACACTTTCATTTGGTAGAACCAAAAAAGATATATATCAAAATTATTCATTTAATATATTCATGAGAAAATAATGAACTCCCCCAACGACAAAAGAGAGAAAAAGTTATTAAAGAAACCCAGAAAACATGTTCTGGAAATGAAAAGTAAAAATGAAAGAAAGAAAAAAGCAAAACAAAATAAGATGGTCCCATACCCATGTTGACTTCTCACCAAAAAGAAAAACAATACAAGGGGAAAAAAATAATATGACGTGGAATCACAATGTCATTACACGTGAAAAATCGTGGAACTTATAATGCTTTTGGCCCCACCAAATAGCAACCTCTAAGTTTCTTTTCAAATTTGGTAAGACATACGCACCCTTGGTTTGGCTTATGTTTTACACAGAAGAACAGAGTGACACAGAGACACAGGCAGAATCTCTATCTACTCTTCTCACACCATATTCCTATTTCTATTTCTATATCTTTCTTTCTATTACTACCGCAGCATGCACATCACAAACCATGCGGCTTATTACAGTTTTGTCCCTCACACGTTTCTTAATTCACTTGTTGTTGCCCCTCTGGCTCAGTCAGCAACAGCAACAGCAACAACACCTTCACCTTTGAGTTGTTCTTGTCTTGTTCATGGCTGTGTCCAACGGCGTCGAAGCTGTGCTAGAGTTTCTCAGGAATAATGGGTTATCGGAAGCCGAGTCTGCTCTCAGAGAAGACATCATCGAGAAGAGTGATCTGGGGTCCTTTGACTACGAGAAATTCTTCTTCCCCATGGTTCCGCCGCCGCCTCCGGTCAGGGTCCGATCCTTTTCGCGGCCGTCGGAGTCGCCGGGCTTCGCCGGAGACTGCTCCAAATCGACCTCTGTTTCGTCGGAGGATGAGTTTGTGAGCATCGGGTCGTCCACTTCTCGTGTTTCTTCTTCAGGTACTTGTTTTGTTTCTTTCATGGAAAGACTCTGTTTCTATTCGAATCAATTGTTTTGTACTTAATGCTCAATTGCTTGTGCTGATCAATGATCACTCTTTGTTCGAAGTAACAGAAACCTACGTTACCACTGGCGAGAGCTTGTTTGATTGTCGAAAAGTTCTGGTTTTAGTTTCTGCATTAGTTGAATTTTTTGTGCTTTTATCTGTTTTTATTTTGGTATTTCCATTTTTAATATTGGGATCACATAGTGATCATCCAACCCTAAATTCGTGTACTCGATTTTATGTTAATTACAATTCCATTGCATGTACAATTATTATTTTTTAAATATGAATTTATATTTCAAAGGATGCTCTTAGTGAAAAAGGCATCAACCAGATTAGCATAGGCATGCAAATATATTTGTGTATTTAGTCATTGCCCACTATATTTTGCAGTTTATTCATAAATTCAATTTATGTTGAAATTTAAATCACAATTCACTTCTCTTTGTTCATCTCTGATTCATTCAAGTCATATATATATATATATACCATCTGTTTATTGACCTCCTGTACATGTCATTTGGTATCCTTCTTTTTTCTAGCATTCGTTTTTTTTTTTTTGGGTAATTGTATTCCCATTTTCTTTTGCTTAGTTGATTGCCACTCACCATGGCACGAGAACAGAGCATCCTAAAACCTAGTTACTTTTGCAGAATTCATCAATCCGTATGGAATCCGTTCCTCATCTCAGACTCAGAATGATTCCGAATCTTCTTCTGATAGATTATCTCAATTCGGCACAGCACGAGATTATCACGAATTTGATATGCAAAATGAACCATATTGGTATAATGAAAAAGATGATGACAATTTCTTGACTCCTAGTTTTGAAGGGACGGATTTCGTTGGGTGTGAAAGTGAAGATAAGTTTGTCATGACAGCAGAAACTGAAAATCAACATGACAGTTCTCTGGGTTTTAATTTCAACCATGAAGAATTTCAATCAGAGGGAAATGGTGCTTACAAGGACAAGGCATGCCTTTATAATCATTCCTCTCTAGGGGATGGAAATGTGACTCACTCACAAGGCTATTGTCATGTGGATAATAAAGACCAGGTTGAAGGGCAATTAGAGGGCAAGGATGAGAAACACACCATTCCCTATAGTTGTGAAGTTCCATTTTGCAAAAGCTGTGGAGGTTCAGGAGATTCTTGTAGTGGGGATCCTACAAACTTCAGCTACCCTAATTTGAAGGAAATCCATCTGAATGATTTTCATTTGAAGGTTGTTGGGGATATTACCCCATTTGATTCTGCCCCAGAACATACTTTGAATCGAAGTTTTGACTACCACACTAAAAATGACAGCAGTAAGGGGGACAGGGGTCCTTATGACTTAACTAACAAAGTTGCTGAAACAGATCTACCAAATGGATTTGACACCTACAAGGCAGGAGATGGAAGAGAATCCGGTGAAGAGTGCCAAGATCCAGATGTTATTGCAGATGGAGAGGATACTACTGATGATGAACTCTTAAAGTACATTCAAGAGGATGAATATGAAGTCTTTGACCTGAGAATTATACATAGAAAGAACAGGTTTGCTTGTAGATGATCTTGTGCTGTAAACTTTCATTTCTACCTAATATTCCTGGTAATGCTGGTGAATAAATTGATTTTGAATGTTTAGGGGACTAGGAGTTGATAAATTTTGAAATTAAATGAATGCCACTTTGTTCGCTTTACCTTTCTTATTTTTGGGCATTTAACGTTTTCTTTGTTGGCCTTGACTAAATTCATGTTGATTTTGTCTCAGTATTTATTTATTGTGGAATTTGTAATGGCTATTCACTTTTGCTCTTTAGGTATTAAAGTTTCAGAATGTATTATTTGGGTATAATTTGCTCTCATCAGTTATTGCATCTACAGGACTGGATTTGAAGAAAGCAAGGAACTTCCCATTGTGCTAAATACAGTCATGGCTGGCAGGTACTATGTAACAGAGTATCTTGGTTCAGCTGCCTTCAGTAGGGTTGTTCAGGCACATGATCTTCAGATGGGAATAGATGTTTGCTTGAAGATTATTAAAAATGACAAAGACTTTTTTGATCAAAGCTTAGATGAAATCAAGCTTCTGAAACTTGTCAATAAGCATGACCCAACAGATGGACGCCACATATTGCGTCTTTATGACTATTTCTACCATCAGGTATGTTATATATAGCTGGATTGATTTCATGTAAGGTATAGAAATTTCATTTAGTTCAAGCTATATCCAAAACTTTTGGGAAATCATACATGCTTAACAAGGAATGATCTGTGGAAATTTATGATCAACTTTTCTTTCTGTCTTCTCCCATCCCAATCAGTTTTAACTTTTAATATTAAGTCACTTATCTTGAATGAAAATTTCGCAGGAGCATTTATTCATTGTAACTGAACTTCTGCGAGCAAACTTATATGAATTTCAGAAATTCAACCTAGAATCTGGAGGGGAAGCATATTTTACATTGAACAGGTTGCAGGTTTGTTAAACCAGACTAATATCTTTTTTACCTATTCCACAATGTTACTTTTTCAGTTGTTACTTTGCTAGTTATCTAAAACACCCTGGATCCTTCATACCTACTTTACTCATCAATATGTTGCTCTTCTTAATTATAACTTTGCCTGTCCATTGTTAGAAAGTTAATTCAGCAATTTGAATATAATTGCTTCATGTCAGAAATAGAGAAGTTGTCAAAGCATGATGATCAGGGTTGTTGTTATCCTTCTTTACAGCTCATTACTCGTCAGTGTTTGGAGGCATTGCAATACTTGCATAACTTGGGAATTGTTCACTGCGACCTGAAGCCAGAAAACATTCTAATCAAAAGTTACAAAAGATGTGAAATAAAGATTATTGATCTCGGAAGCAGTTGCTTTCAAACAGACAATTTGTGCCTATATGTACAATCCCGATCTTATAGAGCTCCTGAAGTGATGTTAGGCCTTCAATATGATGAAAAGATTGATATATGGTCTCTTGGTTGCATCTTGGCTGAGCTATGCTCTGGTGAAGTATGTTCTAATTTGCCTTTTTTATGAAATTAATGAAATACATTTTTCTATGGCTTTAATGTAATCATGGAATTTTGAGTTTCTTTTGTAAAGTTTGATCAGAATGTTCAGTTTGGTAAGCTAATATAATCAGGGAATAATTTATTTTCGAAGAATTTATTTATTTATTTATCCTCAGTCCTTTTGTCTTCTCTAGGTGCTCTTTCCAAATGATGCAGTTGTGATGATTCTCGCCCGCATGATTGGAATGATTGGTCCTATTGATCTGGAGATGTTGGTGAAAGGGCAGGAAACACACAAGTACTTCACCAAAGAGTATGATATTTATTATTTAAACGAGGTTTGTTTCCCATTGTTTTTTCCTTCACGACTGTTCCTTTTGTATCGGAAGGTCAACGTATTTCATTTGTTGTTCTTCATGAAATCATACAAGTAAAGACATTTTCTTGTTGCTGCTGAATACATTTCACTTTTGACTCATTTATTTGAAGGAAAAAGCAGCAAAAAGCTCTCTTCTTGTTTCTAAAATCATTAGTTTTCTAAAATCTAGTTAACTGGAGAATGCAGTACATTTTTCTTCATTTTTTTTATGAGCGCTAGTTAAATCTTATTAATCCTCATTGTGCTCAATTTCAAATTTTGCCACGGCTGCAGTCAATAAAAGTTCATTATCTTTTTTCAGAATATATTAACAAACAATGTAAAGTCGATAGTGAAGAAAATCTCAGATGGATTTAGTATGTGCAATTTGTGCAATAAAAAAGAAAAAGAATTGGCCTTACACTCACCAACAAAATCAAATCCTCCTTTTCAATTTCCATTTTAGGTTTTTTCAACTAACTAATCTTTAGTATTTTGTACACAGGAGACTAATCAAATGGAGTACATAATTCCAGAGGAGTCATCATTGGAGCAGCACCTACAGGTTACTGATACTATGTTTATCGACTTTGTCAGATACTTGCTTAGCATAAACCCCAAAAGAAGGCCTACAGCAAGACAGGCGCTAAAGCATCCATGGCTTTCTTATGTTTACAAGTCATAGGAAGGTTCAGTAATTCTGTTGGGAGTTATCCATATCAGTCATGATCTCATGAGCTTATTTTCCGCATACAGTGAAGCTTGCAATCACAATTTTGGTTTGTTTATAAGCAACAGCAAGTGAATTTACTTTCTCATGTTGTATGTTTTTTTTCCTGTTGATTAACAGATTGTTCTTTTGTACAGAACTTCAGCCCATTATTTTTGCTTTCCATGAATTGGGAGGTTTGAGCATTACCAGAATAACATTTTCGTGTCACCCTTTTGATTCTATCATTGGTCCTATAATGCATAGGTCCTTGAAGGCTTCATTGCAAAAACTATGTTTGAAACTTCAAAGTGATTGGTACTGTTAATTCAGATACAGCAAGACAATATAACTAACGGTGTTTCTCCAAAGTATAAATAAACTTTTTGAAAAGCATATATTACCATTTTTTTAATAATAAACATGGAGAAATGTATATATAATATACCTAGATGGCATGGACTCCCCTTCTTGTTTTTGGAATTATATAAATATCTATAACATTTAAATTTGGATATAAATCTGTCATTGTGTCAAAACTCTCATGGAGAGGACCAAAGTTTAATTCTTAAAAAAACGGCAATTGTAGGGAGGGTTGTTTAATCACAATAGTATTCGAAGGATTGGTCTCACGATGACGTCTATGAAAATATCTTTATAAATAAAACTTTTATTGTTTCTTAAAAATATGGGGTTTGCTTTTATCATTTAACATGATTACACAAAATTTTCTACACTCACAATATTATGTGGGATCCATATGTTTTAAAGAGAAAAAAAATTACGGCACGTCAAATGAATCTCTATAACATAACACAATTATTTTTCTTACCACATAAGATAGTTGGTTAAAGTGTTATACACTTTATTTTTCTTAAGCAAGATTTTGGATTTAAAAGTGAATGCAAAAAATCTTTCTTGAAAAATTTAGTTTCACCATGATGTGAATGTTTTCAGTTCGAATTGAATTGTTTCTCGTATCGAATATATATATATATATATATATATATATTCTGTATTTTATTAATTATTCATTTACTTTTTAGTTGTTTTCTTCAATTATAATTAATTATTTGTAATAATTTTCGTACTAAATAACATCGGTGATTTTAAAATAAACACGATTTTCATCTCTGACTCGTTAAACGTATATGGCGAGTCTTTTCATGTTCTCTTAAAATATGTTATCTTAAATTGTAATATAAAGTAGGTATCCCTCTCTGCCTGTCTCTCTCTTGGAGCTGATAAAGTCTGTCTCTCTTTATTTTTGGATAAAAATGATATATAATAGAAGGGTTTTATAATTCTCATTCAACATGATAATTGAAATTTTCCTACACATACTTCGATTTCCGTGTTGACATAGATTCTACACATAACTTTTACTAACATATGGGTCCCACATATTTTTTATCTCTACAATATAAGATTTCAATTCTCATGTAACTTGAGAATTATAAAACCCATAATAGAATATTGTATATGAAAGAACGAATATAAGTATAATTTAGGTCTAAAAATTTTAAAAGGAAAAGGTTAAAGTCACGCTAATCATTCTTTTTAATATCTTTAGTAAGGGAATGTCCTATTGGTATAAAAGTGTGCAAAAAGGTTGCTGACTTCCCTCACTATACAACTATACATAAACGAAGCATCAAATAGACTAATACCAGAATAGTCATGGAAATCCATGAGCAACTATATATATATATATATATATATCTTCTAAACTAGTTATGAGAAAATATCTATTAATTGTTCTTTTAGAAAGAAAACACACATATATTCATGAGTTTTCCTAGCCCGATACCAAAAAATAGATCATACTGAATTACTGATCACGGGCGTGCAAAAGTAAGGATTATGGGTGAAATGGGTTAAGGAAATTTGCCACTACCAGAAATGTTGGAACTGTCAAATTGGGCGCTGGGCAATGGGGCTTAGGTTATAAGCTTTTGTTTTTTCTCTCTCTCTTCTTTTTTACCTTTTTGGGTTTGAATTGAGTGCTCAAGTCTCCCGGCTTGTATGCCCTAATGTGATGTTAGTGACCAAACCATTAGGCTATGGTAAGTGAAATGGGCTTCAAACTGAAGAAGAAAAATCAAAATGAAAACCAAACTTCTTCAAACTTTAAAATGTAAATGAATCGGTACTGGGAGGAATGGTCTTCAGCTCTTCTCAAGTCCTCTTCATCAGCTAACACCACTGCTACATTCTGATATGCATGATGTTGGTTTAGTTAAAAACCAAGATAGTTATGTAGTGTTATCTATTTTTTTTTGGGTATGGCTCATATTTCGTATGTTTTTATTGTCGGAATTAACATAAAGGCAATTGGGATCCCGTTCTCAAGTGAACTAGGGAGGGTTTGGGGGCAGCGCCCCAATCCCGTAAAAGTTAGGTACTGTTATAGACTTCTGATTTATTATAAATTTTTCTTTTATTAGTAGTTTGAGCTTGGGACAATAAATAGCTGCTGTTAGAATTTTTTCTAATCCTATTTATATTCACATTGTAAACTCCGAGTGACTTGTAATGAGTGGTGGTGAGGTGAATATAATACAGACAAGCTGAACGTAACCTAAATTGGATAAACTAGGATAAATCACTGTGTCTAATCTCTCTCTTCCTCTTTTCGTTTGCAATTTGTTGATTGTCGATTTTCAACATTTTCGAAGCTAAGTCCTCCCTTCTCACCAAAAATAAAATAAAATATAATTGAACATGAAGCCTGACCTGTGTCATATGACATTATCTCGTAAAAATTGGGGATAGGTTTAATTTCGTCTGGTAGAGCACGGGAGGAATTAGAGTGGATAATCGCCTCCTTTGAGTTTATATAAATCTTTAGCTATGAGCATTTTTTAAATTATTTTTGCTCATATAGATAATAATTGGTTCCTCTAAATTCATACAATCTTTAATTATGAATATTATTTATACAAAATATTAAATATTCAAACATACAATATATTACCTTAAAGTTTTTTGAGATTTGTGTATTTTCTTAAGTTATCAAATAAATCTAAAAAAATAACAGTGTAGGAAAGTCTCGAGAGTGTCAACCCTTCAATTTTTATTAGCAACGCCCTTTATTATTTTTACCTTTTGTTTAACATTTCATTTTAATTCTTTTACGACGAATGTCAATTATGTCATGATATACTCTCGTTAATGAATTTTTTTTTATATATTCCTTGTTTTTTTATTTCTCTACCATTACCCAACTAATTATATTATATCAGCGTATTAAAATTATGACACATGACACAGAATATGACACACATTAACCACATATGACCATATATAACAGAAAAAGAATTAAAAGAACCCGTGAAGAGAAAAAGAATCAATGTTGCTCAATCTCTTTCAAGCTTCTCTCTTCGAAAATCGCCGTCTCTTGCTCTTGCCTCCTTTTCTCTCTGTTGCCGAATGTGCCAGTTATGTCTGGCTAATTTTCTTTTTGTAGTTGGGATCACGGATCCAATGTGAATCTTTTATATTTTTTATATTGTTTTTATAAATTAATTAGTTTAGTTAGTTGTATTCTATCTGTGTTAATTTTTTTATATCTTTGGTAGAATTGATCGCTCTATTACAGGGTTTTGAGGGTTATGGCTCACAATAGACATATTGGATTTTTAATCTAGACAATGGTAGAATAACAATTTGTGCATGACCTAGACATATGCTTACATAGATTGCAGACTTTTAATTCATTTGCTTAATGCTTAATTCAAGAGGAATTACTAAGACACTAGAATTCTAATTGGGTTAAAGGGTTGAAATCATTAAGACATTAGGGTTCAACTAATTTATAAGAAAATAATGAATTGTCTGAGCAAACAAATTAGTTAATTATAAAATACAATATAGGAATATAAGGGAGGATCGGAGACAAAGTGCATCCTAGATACAATTTTTAATCAATCTCGTATTTTCTTGACGTTCTTGATATTCTTGCATGCTTTTAAATATTAATGTTTTTAAAATTCTATTTTTAAAAATTACAACATCCAATCACTTTCACAAAAACCAATTCTTTTCTTTCAATTAAAAAGGGAATAGTTAAAATTAGTCATTGGTGGATTAATCTTCGAGGGAACGATATCTTACTTATCACTTTTATTACATATCTCACTTGTTGCGAAATAGACAAGTATACCATTCGTTTCAAGTAATAAAAGTGATAAGTAAGATATCGTTCACTCGAAGATTAATGCACCAATGACTAATTTTAACTATTATTCCCTTTTTAATTGGAAGAAAAGAATTGGTTTGAATTGTGAAAGTGATTGGATGTTGTAATTTTTAAAAACAAAATTTTAAAAACAATTAAATTTAATCGCATGCAAGAATTATCAAGAACGTCGAGACAATATGAGATTGATTAAAAATTGTAAAAAGACTGTAGCTAGGATGCACTTCGTCTCTCATCCTCCCTTATATTCCTATATTGTATTTTATTATTAACTAATTTGACAATTCAATATTTTCCTATAAATTAGTTGAACCTTAATGTCTTAGTGATTTCAATCCTTCAACCCAATTAGAATCCTATTGTTATAGTAATTCCTCTCGAATCAAGCATTAAGCAAATGAATTAAAAGTCTGCAATCTATGTAAGCCTATGTCTAGGTTATGCACAAATTGTTATTTTACCATTGTCCAGATTAAAACTCCAATATGTCTATTTTGAGTCCTAACCCTCAAAGCCCTATAATTAGAGTGATCAGTTTTAATAAGGATATGAAAAAATTAACACATGCAGAACAAAACAAACTAAACTAATTAACTTATAAAAATAATACAGAAAATATAAAGAATTCACATTGGGTCCATGATCCCAACTACAAAAAAGAAATTAGCCAGACATATTCATGTCTGACTTAAACAAATTAAAATAGTAAAAAGAATTCATAACAAATAAAGAAAAGAAAAAGATGAAGAAGAAAGATCAATGGTTTTCAATCTTCAAGTTTTCCAGAATCCTGATATCCGGCGTGAGACTCCTCCTCTAAATATTGTTGCCTCTGTTGAATTGTGTCTTGAGTTTCCAAGAGATTAGGGGTGGCAATATAGCGGGTCAACCCGCCAAAACGGGGCGGGTTGGGTTGAGATTTTCAACCCACCTCAACCCGCTCCGCCTAGAAGTGGCTCAAAACGGGTTCAACCCGCCGGGTTATAATTTTTTTTTTTATTTTTTTTTTACAATTAGGTAGTATTTCATTAGTCCTTAAATTTTTGTGATATCCAATTTTTTCTTTATCTTAGTACTTCCTAGAAAAAATAAAGAATAAC